CGCGGCAGGCTTTACAATCAGCCCGCCCGCCATTGCCCATTTTCTCAATTTCATTTTCTCTCTGTATTTCATTCATTACCTATTGTACACACAAACCTATAAAACTTCACTTTCCCTTAAGATGATCCGCCACCATTGATTTACTCGTAATTTAATATAAAATGAATACGGAATCGTTCATCACTTTAATTCCTTATTACTTTAACACTATTCTACAAGCGTTCTTTATGGTAGCAAATCATCTTGCATGTCTAATGTTAATTCACACTGCATCCAATTATAAACACCCGCGGTACACGCTAGTAGAACTTCCGTATCTTCGACAGACGATACCATAAACGTTTTTACTTCTATCTTCTTGGAGACAACGTTGAACGATGAAACGTTGCGGCGTCGACGACCGGGAAAGTTAGCAAGTTGTACAGTGGACTTCGTATCACGCGAATTTCCATTCCCTACTATACAACCTACTACCTCACCCAGGCGTCGTCGCTAATACTGCTCGTTTCCTCTTCTTAATTCTCGCTTCCGTTACTGCCTTTAACAGCTATCGAACACTAACGATCACTGCACCGCAAACGAAGAACGTTACATAATATAGCAGCATGATATTACAAAGTATTTTACTTCCTTTACATTTTTTTTACTGTATGTTTGGTTTAAGAGTTCTTAATTATTATTTATACAAATAAACTCTATGTGTACATGATTGTTTTACAGCTTGTGAATTATAAATTAAAAGTAAATACATACAAGACAAAATTTAAATATTCCATTAAGTATCCTATACTCAATAACATGCATGTGCTTAAACCAGACATACTATATTTAACCATAGATCATGAAAAATTAGTTTTTGTAAACATTTAATGCACAAAGAGATATTCTCTTGAAGTTAAGATGAGTTATTTGAATTAGTTGTATTAATAAAATAGTTCATGGTCTAGGGTTTACAAGCAGATCCAATAAATCTTTGCGTGCACGTTTCAATTTTACGGAAAGAACAGGTGGCCCATAATTAATCGTTGGACCGGAAATGGCAGAACGATTTACCATCTAATTGCGATGAACTTCGCTCTATCCTCTCATTCTCTCACGCATTGTCTCATTCTCTCCCCTTCCCGCTCAAATTCTTCGATCTAGAAAATTACTTAGCAAAAAAAGATCTTGATAACCGGAAGTACTGCGGGCTTTCAGGAGGGCAGAGAGGTGCAAAAGAGGAGGAGGAGGTTCCGTCGAAAAGCTTAAATGCTGGCCTGACTACATGTACCGGTAGATAGGAGCTTGCGGTATACATATAAAAAAGCCCACAAGTTCGGATCTACGGGTTAGTATCATCAAGTATTGCTGATAACCGCTTTTGCTTCGTCGATGCTCCTGGTTCCTTTTACATTGCCAGTTTTATCCTTTTGATACCGCTACGCCTGGAAATGCAGAGAAGAACAAAATATATAATTCATTGTTAACCCTGGTAAGTTTACTAATTTATGTACAATTATAAAATATTTGTGAAACTGATTTATGTATCTTCAGGGTGTTACAGTGAAAGGGTAATATTATCGTATGACTTTAATCTCTACAAGAACTCCCTAATGTCTCCAACAATGTCAAAGCACTAAGAAATGAACGTTAATGAAGTTAAGGGAGTACCATAAGTTAAATAAATCAAGCAGAGGAGCTGAAATCTGTTTTCTTAATGGATTAGACAACTTTATGAGATACAGCTGTGTAATTAGGGGCAATTCGTTGGAAATTGGTGTTATGGAAGAAATCCTTTCTTCATTATATTCAAGTTAAATGTATATGTTACTTATGTAATGAGTGAACAAAATGAGTGTATCAAACAAATTTCCATCTGTAATTTCACACATTGTAGCGTCGTGAGTATTATCAGTGATAATATTACAATATGTAGCAGTACAATGTACAGAGTTACAAAGTGTGGTTCGTGTAAGATAAAGAGGTAGAAATAAAAAGTTTGAAGAAAGTCATCACGAAGTATCGGGCATAAATTTTGAGCGCGTGACTTAAGAACATCTTCGGCTAAATTATCTGTTCAATTATTGGGCAGAAATTTAGCATAATTTGGAAGATGTTAGGCTCGACTTTCTCACGCATGGTCCCTGACTTGCCACGCCATTGCCGGGTAGAGAGATCAGGAGGGCATAGAAAAAGGAAGCTGTACAAGAAAACAAGACGAAGAAGAAGGAGAAGAGGAAGAAGAAGAAGATACGGAGAGAGAAGAAGAGCAAGAAGAATACGAGAGCTCAGAGAGTAGGTAGACTCCGGCCGCTGTAAAAGTCCCCTGCCTGCTCGATCGTAGACAGTTGAATGGCCTCTGCAGCTCTCCTTGCGCGGCCCTAAGGGATGTTAGGCACCATTTCCAACTGACCGATTATGCTTTATGATTAGATCGCCTCTGGTCCTTCCAATTATTTGTCTGCACGTTTCTTCACGCCTGAAATAGATGCAACCAATCAGCAAATATTCTACATTTTATTAAATAGTGATTCTACTTCTTGTAACTTGACAGGATTCTTAGATTGGAATATTATTGAAACAAGAAATTTTTATTAAATTCTAATTTTAATTTTTCTGATTTACAATGTTAAAAGGGATTACAATGTTCATTTGTTTTATAACTAAATAACTAAAAAATGTTAGTGCGAAGTTATTAATGTCTCTATACGTCATGTACAAAAGTGTTACCTTAAGCACGAAATTAAACTCAAAGTATACAAAGATCCTTCGTAAACATGCGAGATCAGAAAGTTTCAAGTGTTTGGTGTGAATGAAACTTAAGGTCTAAAAGGCGGCGAAGGGCCTGGATGCAGAAGCAGTCGAGCCAGAATTCTGTACGCTACACGAAAAGCTGCACTCTTTCCTGCACCTCGTGCGTCTGCTGATCCTCTTCTCTTCCTACCATAACAAATAAAAGTAACTTTAGAAACCGTGATTCGTCGCTTTACCTCGGAGAGGCGTAGCTTTATAATTTGTTAGACAATTTTACTTAATAACAAATTGAAGAAACGTTGCTTCACATTAAATGACATAATTCAATTTTATAAAATCAATTTTCAAAGTTTGGTACTTAAATCTTTTTGAACCAAGGTTTTTTTTAGTAAAGAGAAATATGGAATAAGAAAACTATTTTCCCTAAGGACTTATGAAAAGTCTAATAATAATATGGTGATGCACTGGGAACGGAAATAGTAATAAGGAGAATTATTCTAGAGCAAGTTGTGTTACAAAGATGTCTGCCAATCATCATGAGATGATACTGGAACCTCAGATGTATCAGTAAAGATAGGATCAGAAGCTTGTTCAGTTTTTCTTCCATGGCGACCAAGAACAGAGAGTAGAAAGCTAGCGATGAAGTAGGAAAAAAGAAAGGAAGCGGAGCGAAGAGAAAAGAAGAGAAGGGAATAGAAGCGGAGTAGAAAGAAGGGACGCGAGGGCAGAGACGTAATCACAGAGGCGTTGAATTAGGGAAGCATTGAAGGGAAGAGTGGGGAATCGAGGGATGGGGAAGGGGAGTCGACAGTGAAGGACCGGGGTCACCGCCATATTATATTTAGCGAAACACAGCCGTGTGAATGAACTGCATATCCCAGGGACGAACGTACTTGCGATGATATTTTTTAAATATTCCGAATCGAATGACTACTTCCTTTTCTTCATCCTCTTTCGAGATACAATTTCATTCCTTCTTTATCAGTGTTCAATGTTTTCAATGTTCTTCTCATTAAATTATAAAATCAATACTATTGCAGCAAATAGGTACTCTATCCTTACTAAACGTCTTAGTTCCTTCTAATGATCCTCCTTTTCATCTATAGAAGAATGCAGAAGATTAAATAAGAAATGAGAATATTATGCATTAGATGTATTGAGCTGTTTTGATGAACTTGTTACCTTCATGAAAGCTAAGGTGCATAGAATCCAACATGTATCCATTTTTGTTTAAAGGCTGCTTGTGTAAGTTTTTTGACTGAATTCAGTAATGGCCTGAAACGGGGAGATTTACTTTAAAATTCTGTACTTTACTAAGTAAATGAATCTGAATTCAGTAAAGAAAATGTATAATAAGCGATGTTCATTCATATAGTAAAACGAAGATTAAATCCTATGATGTTCTACAAAATTCTGAAGTAGTTTCTTCGTTGGTAGCTAGCCGACGTTGACAGAACGCTCACAACGTCCGGTGGACATAAACTACAACACATGTCCTGGTAAATATCCATTGTTCCTGGTTACAGTATGAACAATACGCAAGCTGTTCAGCAAATGCTCCCGAGACCGCTAATGTTTTCCAGACAAGAATATCGTATCATTGTTAAGTTCCAACGGCTTTCAAGGAGTGGGTCCTCGTGATTCGTAATGAAAGCATTTTTTAAGTCACTCGCGTATCAAGTGTTATCTCTCCAAGTATTGGACTTCAATAAAATAAACTACTGTCGAGTTAAACAAATCCAGACTTAGAAGGCTTGTAAGGAACAAATCCAAATAATTAATACTGAGAAATAAGATAAGATTCAATGTTCTATCTGGTTTCAAATTCCCATAATTTTCTGCTGCTTTAATTCAGCAATTTACTGATGAATTTTTACTGATAGAAAACTGGAATCAACAACTCATTGTCAACATAGTAAACTTAATCAGAATGTAATGAAGAGTCTACACGGTATTAGAGTAATACAACCTAATGAAGGACTAAATTGTAGAAGCAATTAATTGGCGAGTAGTAATCCATGAAGTTAATTATAGGTCTCGACATGGATTCCTTTCCATTGTCACAGGCTTTTTAAAGCTACTGTATACAGAAACGTTTGCCGAGGAGATAGATTTCCTCCAAGAACCGCAAGAAATCCACGGAAAGGAAGAGCATCGAACGAGAACAGAGAAGGGGGGGAGAGATAAAGAAAGCAAGAAAAAAAGAAACGTCCCCATAGCAACACGAGGCGATCGAGACTTGCTTTACATGTACAGAAGGCTACGTATACACTGTAATTCAGATTGTATTCGTGCTATGTACAGAATGTCTCGAGTATATAAGAGCAATCAATTGTCACACATGTGTCTCGGCTATAGCTTCAATCATTATTTCAGTAATGTTACGTCAATCCTTAAAGGGATACACTTGACATCGGATATTTATCCACGGAGAAAGTGAATCGCTCTTTTATCGAGGGAGACAGCCAGCAGAAAATGTACTAGACATATGAAGGGTATAAGAGAAGACACGTTAATAGACTTCCGGTAAGAGACAATGCACCCAGACGTCCAATTTCCAGGAGAGGATTGATGATACCGTGTACAATGAAGATACAATCTGCGGAGTGATCAAAATGACGATCAACTGGAGCATGATAATTGAGTTAATCTCTTTAGACGAATTAACCTTTCTTGATAGAAGTATTTGGACCACAAAATAGCTTCAGATTCTTTATATGGTGTCTAGCTTCAGCCAAAAACAATATGCAGTCTAGCTTCATCCAAAAACAATATGGAGTCTAGCTTCATCCAAAAACAATATGGCATCTAGCTTCATCCAAAAACAATATGGCATCTAGCTTCATCCAAAAACAATATGGCATCTAGCTTCATCCAAAAACAATATGGCATCTAGCTTCATCCAAAAACAATATGGCATCTAGCTTCATCCAAAAACAATATGGCATCTAGCTTCATCCAAAAACAATATGGCATCTAGCTTCATCCAAAAACAATATGGCATCTAGCTTCATCCAAAAACAATATGGCATCTAGCTTCATCCAAAAACAATATGGCATCTAGCTTCATCCAAAAACAATATGGCATCTAGCTTCATCCAAAAACAATATGGCATCTAGCTTCATCCAAAAACAATATGGCATCTAGCTTCATCCAAAAACAATATGGCATCTAGCTTCATCCAAAAACAATATGGCATCTAGCTTCATCCAAAAACAATATGGCATCTAGCTTCATCCAAAAACAATATGGCATCTAGCTTCATCCAAAAACAATATGGCATCTAGCTTCATCCAAAAACAATATGGCATCTAGCTTCATCCAAAAACAATATGGCATCTAGCTTCATCCAAAAACAATATGGCATCTAGCTTCATCCAAAAACAATATGGCATCTAGCTTCATCCAAAAACAATATGGCATCTAGCTTCATCCAAAAACAATATGGCATCTAGCTTCATCCAAAAACAATATGGCATCTAGCTTCATCCAAAAACAATATGGCATCTAGCTTCATCCAAAAACAATATGGCATCTAGCTTCATCCAAAAACAATATGGCATCTAGCTTCATCCAAAAACAATATGGCATCTAGCTTCATCCAAAAACAATATGGCATCTAGCTTCATCCAAAAACAATATGGCATCTAGCTTCATCCAAAAACAATATGGCATCTAGCTTCATCCAAAAACAATATGGCATCTAGCTTCATCCAAAAACAATATGGCATCTAGCTTCATCCAAAAACAATATGGCATCTAGCTTCATCCAAAAACAATATGGCATCTAGCTTCATCCAAAAACAATATGGCATCTAGCTTCATCCAAAAACAATATGGCATCTAGCTTCATCCAAAAACAATATGGCATCTAGCTTCATCCAAAAACAATATGGCATCTAGCTTCATCCAAAAACAATATGGCATCTAGCTTCATCCAAAAACAATATGGCATCTAGCTTCATCCAAAAACAATATGGCATCTAGCTTCATCCAAAAACAATATGGCATCTAGCTTCATCCAAAAACAATATGGCATCTAGCTTCATCCAAAAACAATATGGCATCTAGCTTCATCCAAAAACAATATGGCATCTAGCTTCATCCAAAAACAATATGGCGACTGGCTTCATCCATAAACAATATGGCGACTACCTTCATCCAAAAACAATATGGCGACTGTTTCTATGTACCTTCATTTTTCTGTGCACTAATGTACTGCATGATGCAGTTCACCGGCTAATTAAACAAACGAATAAATTGATGCTTTCCCTGGAAAGCATGGAAGAAACAAAGGGTACAAGCGGCGAAGGAAAGACATTGGCTCGGTGCATTTGAATATCCTGCGAGCTTGCATCGGTGGAGAACTGGTCAATCCTGTCCTGCGGGAACGAGAAGCACGAACGAAGGAAAAAGGACCTGCCTGAAGGTGTATTAGCCTTCGGTTGCAGCTCGAGAAGCATCCAGCGACTGGATCAACGATGCAACTGAACTGCTAGGATACTCCATTTTCAAGTTCTGTTCTTATGCATGCAGTTGCATTCTATCTTAAACGGTATCGTGGGAATTCTACGTCTAAAAGAAAACGAATATAACTGCGATCTTAGGACGAATGTGAGAATTTCAATTATCAGCATAACTTACTGAAGTGGTCTAAAGTTCGCAATTGCAAACTCTGAACTCGGGGTCTCGACTAAACTTCTCCAAACATTAATTGATACTGGTACTCCTAAATTACACCTACAACAATACAAATTGTACTGAAATTTTTGATTGTATCGAAGGGAAAATGTGGAGATGTAGAAATGTATAAGAGGGGTGGTTTCGAGAGAATTGATCGGTGAATTCGGTAAATTCTACACGTAGAAAATTGTTGAAAATCTCGCAGAAGTTGGAGAATTGAATGCCCATCATCGAAACAGAGGGGAGAGAGAGTACGGCGAAGAGAGGGAGAAGGAGTGAATGAAAGAGAGAGGGAGGGGAGTAGGCCCGGGGAGGGAGCGAGATGCGAGAGAGAGGGGGTGAGAAAGGGATAGAAAAAAGGGACACCATGGCTCGATTTAGTACTCCCATACGCCTATCTCCGCCCACCACATAGAGCAAACCGACCAATGACTGGCATGCGTTCTACTAGAGACCGGCTAGATCGAACGTGCACTGCCAGCAATCTCTCCCTCTCCTTCTCCGGGCTCACGAATTACGAACCTGGATGGGTGTTGTGTGTACGATAGGTAGCTGGCCTCCTGGGGGATATCAACAATGACATTGCTACGACGACGTGTTGACTGACGGTCTTTCAAACTTCAAAAATTCGCGCGCTTTATCGCTCCGTCAGATTTTCAATCTTCGACTCTTTGATATCAGCTGCAAAGAAGTAGCGCGGATATTAAGAAAATACATTTAAAAGTATAACATGTTAAAATATTAGTTTTCGAACCTGTACGACTACTTTAATATTCGTGTAATTAGGATTTGAAATAATCTAACAATTGAAAAACAGAACTGTAGGGTATCTTTCGTGTACCTGCTGCTCGGTTACATAACTTCCAGAGCGTAGAATACAGTGGATGCGATAAGATTGCTTTATCACAAAAACATTGTCGAGTTTAAAGAAATAGGACAACGAGGATTGCCAGCTTTCAATAAAGTTACATCAGTCTCACGCACACTGTTGAAAAAAATAGTAACAGGCACGTGCTTATCGACTGATAACAATTTAACTCGTGACGGTTATTCCAATTAGGATCGCGGCGACAGAGAAAAGGAAACAGTTTATCTAAAAACAGGGTGTACAAAAACGATCAAACTTCGCCAGCGTTTCACGAGCAAAAATAAAATATTACACGCAAATAGGTGTACGTATCTAATTTAAACGCAAACTTATAATTTAACGCTTTGAATGTATATCTCTCTATAACTTAATGCTTTGTTAATCCCTGTCGAGAAACCTGCACTCGCTTTCACAATTCACCACAGTATCGGAATTTACAGGCGTAAAAATTTCTGGATAGATCCAGTGTATCTAAGATTCAGAAATTTAAGAACATGCTTCGCGTAAAGTTTGATCGTTTGAGGCCACTCCGTATAAACTGTTATCTCCGTCGTTCGTTTATTTATATCCTCCGCATATCTAGCTGTAGGATCTATATTTGCAACGCTGCTATTCAAGCTTTTCAGTTAACCGTTATTGCAACATTGCCGGATGTCGTTTTTTGTAACTCCATTAAACCATGCAGCTGATACGAGTCCGATGAACTTGCGTGTACTTGAAGAAGGAAAAAAAGAGGCATTGATCCAATTAATTCATAATTGCGTGATGGAAGTGACCGGTATCCGAGCAGAACTAATTATCAGCGACGGCCTTGAAAGGCTGTAACGAATCAGCGTCAATTAGCGTGTTCGTATTTGTGAATCTGGTAAGTCACGTTAATCGCATCTGGCCTAGACTCGCTACTGGTCAGCAGGTGTAACTCGATACCACGAGATTAAAGCTCACTGCCAATGTCACACAGCCATATCTACGTCATAAAAGCTGACCTCGACAATCTTGTTCGGTGTACGCAAGAGGAGTATGGTTTTCAAGAGCGATGTGCATCGGAAAGTGTAAGCAGTTTCCGTCCAATTACGACCTGCACATGTGAGAATGTACTGTAAATATTCTGCGGAATTAATGGAACTCTCAAGGTCATAACGTACCTCAGATCGTCACTTTTCAATCGGATATTTGGGCCAATAGGAATTGTACGAAGTTCAGAAATATAAATCGTGCAACGTCATCTATTGCATAACTCATAATCTACCGCTTCTGCATCATGGAGTCTAATGACACATGTGGAGTGACTCCATTTTTAATTGCCGCTGATTACTACTCTCAAGAGAATCCTTATTAACTAAAATGAAAATGATGTATGCAAGTATAATCTCATAAGTACTAGTTTCGTAATAGGCACAAACTTGTCTCCTCGTTCAGGTAAAAGTTTTGAGAAAAATTACAGTGAGGTATTCTTGACAATAAACTAGATGAACCAGCAACTTTTTTCTTCGATATTGTTCCAGTTATAACTCTCAGTACTCTGAAATAGGGAAATTGACAATATAACGAATGCCTATAGTATAATAAGACTTCTATTTGCTCTGAGGAAACATTCATAATGATCAAACCTTTCAGTATCTATTTTTACATTCGGTAAATGTGATATCATTCATGTTTGAACTATACAGTACTTAAGGAGTACTTGAGACAGTGAGGTTGCATTGTAGAAGTTCAGTATTGTTTTTGTTCCATCACTAACAGGTACACGCGTTAACTATACTTAGGTGATGTTTAAATTTCCATTATCCATATTAATTATTCCTACGTTTACTTAATTAATAGGTAGCAAGTGTTTATGCATTTATCAAAGTCTAACTTATGTAATCTACAAGATCTCATAGATTACATGACTCAATATATCACAAACGCATAGACAATTAATTGAACCTCTGATTTAGGTTTCAAGAACCCTCCGTTAAATTCGGATTTACAAATGACTGAAGACTGGTTGTCGATAGAAGTACTTAATGAGTTTGTCGTGTGTTCGGCATGGCAATCAAGGTGTTAATACCGATTACACTGACCTAGCCAACAGCTGGCTAGATGAGGCTAGCCGAGCGTGTGCTCGTGATGCCAGCAAATCGTGGCATTGCACGTTGCACCGGTTGCAACGAGGCGTTGCACGCAGCATGCGGCGCACAGAGCACACGCAACCAAGGCACAAGGCTTGCGCCAGACTGTTGCACAACTTAGGTATTGATCTTGGCCGGAACTAGTTTCCGTTTCCGTGTTCCTGTCTTCTTGCTTTTCCGCGGGTCTTCGCCACCCGCGCTTTGACTCCACGATTCCGAGAAACAATTGTTTAGCTTGCCAGCTGGCCGTCGTTCTACTGTGTCAGAAAACAATAAACAACCTTAGCCATGCGTCAAACAGGTACTGAATTAAAGAAACGTTACCTAACTATACTTCCGGTAGTGCTTGAATAACTACCTGCACGATTTTTGTGCTCTTTCAATTAATAATTACAGAGTCTCGTGTGAAGATGGATCATTTATTTTATCCGTTATTCAGATGTAGGTGTTCTAACGTTATGCCTCTTGCAACACACGCTCTTTCGCGGGCAATAGAGGTGTAACTAGGAACGCAAGAGTGCATTGCACTGGTGAGGTATTGATCTTGGTCGCGGATGTCGTTTTCAGTTTCCTGTCCCTTCATGGAACCTTCTTTATTCGAGTTCCGATGCTCTCGATCTCTCAGACTTTCCTCTGTCGCTACATTTCTTCTAAATGCTTCTCCCGACATCTATAAGAGCGTATTTAGATTAAATGAGCAAGAAGGACAAGCGCGAGTCCCTGCCGTTTAGTGTAAATGGACATCAGGGAAGCAATTCCAAATAGGTAAATGTGAGCAAGTGTTTGTGGAGTTTAGAGTACGGAGAATTAAATTGCACAGCACCGAATCGAGTGAAATTGAAACACGTACCCAGTCAAACCACACCGGATTGAGGTGAATTGTATCGAATGTGGACTTGAATCGAGCGAAATTAAAAAGCGTCAGATTGAATTTGGTGGAATAGAATCGTGGTAAATTAACTCTGACAGAATTGAATCGAGTGAAATTCCCGCCAAATTGTATTACAAGGAATTGAATCATATCGAGTCAAATCGAATCGAATTACATTCAATTAAATTGTATGGGTTTTGACTCGACACGAACATTTATACTCTTGACTCAATAGCGAGTATCGATTACATTTAAAAGAAGTATCGAGCGAAGATGTAGATGCTCTAATATGTAATATAATACCCGGTTCTAAACTGAAGATAACAAATACGATCATATTTCAAAAGAACGTATACACACATCCGACTGAAGACCGTCAAAGGTTAAAAGCGGTATGAAAAAAATAGAAAAAACTAGCTGTTGTGCAACACTGCAACGTTTTCTGCCGACCTCCAGTTTTCATTGTTGCGATAGTTCTTTCGGGGAGCAGCAATCGCCATGATGATAAGTTATCGAAGCGAGAATGTGCTCGAGTTCCAGGAGTGCAGCGATAAATCTCGAATTACCAAGTATTTATCAATACTTTAGCTGTGCCTTATGTTATTTTTTATTCGTGTTCCGTCGAGAGCCGTTGATTCAATCGATCTATGCCGCCACGTGACGAGACGAAGAGAAAGAAAAAACAAACAGAGGAGTGAAACGCGAGCATCGAGGCCATTCCATGGACATGCCGACCGCGGAACATGAAAATAAATATGCACATATGTAAAAATTGCAGCATAATAGCTCGAAATCATTTATAATTCATGATTTTACCTCGTTATTTTAGATTTTCAGCGATCCTAGGAATCAAACGACTCGCAAACAGATTGGAATCGTAAATCTTGCTTTCGCATGTTGTGTCACAATTTATGCAGGCTTAATTTGCTCTACGTTTATATTCCAATAATTCCAAAGTGAAATTTCAACCTAAGCCAGTGTGTGGTTCAGTGTCATTGACCTCGCGTAAATAATGAAGGCTATTTGGCACCGTATCAATTCATTCCTTGAATTTTACGAAACTAATGCCTCGAGAATTAGTTTGACTCAGGTTTCTCTATTCGTGGTACAGTGGCGGCAGTGTGTAGTTCCAAGAATTAACCTATACTTTTCATAAAAGAAAGGTGCACATTAGACGACAATTTCTTTGTATACGCACTTTTTTAGTTTAACTACTCAAAGTTTATATGTATTCCGTTGAAACTTACTAGTTCTAGAGGGCTTGCATTTAACGTAACTAGGTTGCTGCGCGCCATTTCAATATGGCGTCCGTGAAACTTATAGATGATACATACGTATAGGGCATCGGACAATTTATCCAGTTCGAAAGTTTGCAAGTAAATGAAAATCAAAAGTCATAATCGAAAGGCAATTGTAAACATTCCTGCTGCAACAAATCCATCGATACAATGTCTCTATTGTTATCTCATTTACGACTTGTAACCCAGTGTACGAAGAATAGAACATGTTGTTTCTGGAAACAAAGCAATGTCAATGCCCCTTGATGGGGAAAACACGACACAATGGAATATCACGACTACCTCTCCGAGTATTTCCAGCCGTTCTCTCCTTATCGTTCGAAAGAGAAATTGAATTACGAGCTGCCAACGCTTTCTCAAAGCTCCTTGTTCACGTTCAAATATTCATCGACTACGCTCGTCAAAAATAGGTCAAGATTAAAACAAATTATATTACACTAAATTTTCAATACCATCTTTCAAAATGGAAGATCATTAAGAAAAACTTTGGAGAAATTGTTTCGATATGGAAAAGGAAGTAGAAATTATTTTACTTCCAGTACCTGCAGTTAGCAACGGCCCTAGTCATATTGGTAAATAACACCGCACACTATTTTATTATGGAATGCATTAATTATAATTAAATTTTGTAGGAAAATCGCAGTGAAAATCAGGTCATATTTATTTATTATGATTTAAAGTAATAATAGGGAATGTTGGCGTCGATGCACACGTATTTCTGTTAGTAACATCTTTGCTGCTCGGACCTGTCAAAACGTGCGCATGCGCGAAATGAGAAATGAAACAACAGGGAATGTCATTGACCCCGGCTGTATGTATTCAGCGAGAGGTTAAGGTTAATTTTATCGCTCTATGGCGAAAAATACTTCCTTCCTCTTCAACCAAGAATTTTATATTAAACGGTAAAGATCATGCAGACATCACGACGCGATAGAACTCGATCACATGCATAAATAACGTGCCCACGTCCAACATATAAAAATCGCCTATATCGTTCATTAGAAGCTACCGATAAATGAAACGACTTTCCTTGCAAAGATTATCTATGTTATTTCTTTAACAAGACTACTATGCTTCGTATTTAGAAACTATCCAAACGTCGTGACCAATTTGAATAAAAAAAAAGGCTAATGCAATTTGCCACGATCGTTTATCGTCAAAAGGCTGTGTATCTGGTCGCGGCGACCGCAGAAGATGAAAAGCGATATCACAAAACATCGACCGCAATCGTTCCACTTAAAATTCATATCTGAAACAATTCTCAAATGCTTTCATTTGTTCTGACTGAACAGTAAAGAACACTGAAACGTTCACACGTTCACTTACCATAGAAATTCGCATCTTTGTCCACAGGAGACTATCCCATCAAGTGTAGCCAGGTATTCTAGAGCTATCCACGGGGCTGCCACAAAAGCACAGGGGCCTCCACACGACGGCCATTCACTGTGTGGACACTGTACTGCACACGTACACACCCGACACCATGTATTACGAGGCACGACTCACACTATCAAGAGGAAATCGGCGATTTCAGATTTTCTGGAGAGAAAAACACTGCCACTTGCCGGACACCCGCGTCACCATTCGTCGGAAGATCCTATGTCATCTTTCTTCGCGGCGGACGCGTGCACATCGCGGCAAGTCAGAGCCTCTACTCGCGCGAGTGGTATCGGGAAAAGCTCGAGTCCAGAAAATTCTCGATTCGGTTGCGAAGCTCGCCGTCTCACGGTCACCGGCTTTTCTGAAATGATTTTCGGGGAAATCAAATGATCTGGTAACGAAAATCTCTTTTGGAAATTGACAAGAGCGAAGGTTGGTACCCCATGATCGAGCTGGAGGTGGTTAGGGGATGTCTGGTGCTCTCGAGAGGGCAAGGAACTCTACTGCTTCGACAAATAAACGGTTCGATAAACAAAATGATTTTTACAATTAAAAAACGTCGGAACGTAATCGGGAAGGACGATGATGAAAGGATATTAACGAAGAATATACACTTATCCGTTTTTGAAGAATTACCTGAATGGGTATTCGATGTTAGCGAACAACTTTGAAACACTACAAACTAAAAAATGAGAGATGCAATAAAAATAACGTAACTGATAAAAACTTGACTCGTTTTTCGAACATACGGCTGCGCGACAAGCGAGCTTCGTCGGTGACAGCGACAGACTGCGTGCCGTGAGACGCCGGTTGAACGAGCGAACGAACCGATGGACGACGGAACGTGGACAGAAGGAACGGAGGAACGAGCGGAACGACGGAACGAAGCTTGCACCTTCGGTCTCGAAAACGATCAACCGCGAGCTGCATTCGAGTTCCAGACGCGACAGGGTTCGCATCATCTACCTCCCTATGTTTTCAGGAAACTCGAACAATGTAGAAGAAGAATTTTCTAGCTCTTAGACCAATGTTTTCTAAAGGTGAGCTTTTTGGACGGTGTGACAAGTTTTCCTGCAAAGAAAAAATTGTAAGATACTGGCAGTAGGTTTGGCTAGAAACTTTGTTTCTAGATGGCAATGGGAGGAAAAAATGGCTCGATTCGAGACAACTGTCTAGAATCGAGTTCCTGATACGGATAACCGAGCAAGGGAGAAGAGTCCGCTCATCCTACTTCCGGACGAGGTCGAGGCACTTCGTGCGGAAAAACCGAACGACGGGGTCAGACGGCCGGGTTCAGTGACACGGAGAGAATTTGCTTTTCCGCGGGGGTGGCAAGAGGAGGGACAGAGACAGAAAGACAGAGCAAGAAGGGAAGAGAGGGGAGGTTGCTGGGTAGAGAGGTTGCCTGAACGAGGGTAGAAGGAGGCTCGACAGGGTAAACGTACTTACTCGCTAGCACGAATTCGGCGCGAAGGAGAACGGGAACGAGAACGAGCCGAATGTTCCTAGTTGCAAAGTCGAGGCTGTCTCAGGCGCACATGGCTGCCTTCTCTCTTTCTCTATCGGTCTGTCTTCGCTCTCTCACCCCCTTTGCTTGGTGGTCTGTCGCGTTCCGTCTCTGTTTCGCAGTTCTGGTTTGCCCGTGCGAAATTCACTGCCAGTGGCGTAACTAGTGGGGGACCATCGACCCCACTCCACATTGCTATAGTCTCACTGTTATACCCCTCCCACCGGCCTGTCAGCCAGCGTTGCCACTTGCCAATGGCGTTGCCAGCTCGTTGCAACGAGTGGGAGAGAGTCCGTTATCCCACCTAAGGTCGCCTTAGAAAATCAGCCAGCATGCACCGAAAATCCCGCCCGCAACGTCGTTCTAACCCTACCTAATTTTCACTGACGTCTCTCTCTTTTTCTGTTACATGTTTGCCAGATCAGGGGAATCGCTTCTACAAATAATTCTGTAACACCGGGTAAACGTTTGGTTAACTTCAAATGCTACTGTTTTCTTTTAACGAATACTGAAACATATTTACCGAAATTCTTTCTGTACCACAGGATCATGTTTGTGGAAGGAAATCTTGTGACAGAGGAACGGAAACCACGTAGAGGTGTCGATATCGATTACTATCCACAAATTACCGACATGTTATCGATACTTAACGGTACATTGATAATGTTAAGATAATCCTTAAGGATAAAGTATCCTTGTTTAAACTCGTGTAGTCTAATTTGACATATGTTATCATTCTTTACTACTTTAGTCATCTTATAGAACGATATCTTAATAACATTATCAATACAGCGAGTTAGCAGTAACATTTCAGTGTTATCAACGTCAGCATCTTCGTATCGAATAGTTAGCTAATTGCCTGATCAACCTGAAAGCATGTTAAATGAGTTAACGAGATAGAAAAGTTGGCAGTTAATGAGTTAGTTGAGAGGTGTGTAATATGTTAAAAGATTGAAACGTCAACCTGAAGGAATTCATAACGTTTAGCACGAAGTTGAGTGTAGATGTGACAACAGAATGTCACCAGAGAATTTTATTTCCCAGTACGTCGGACGGACCAGTCTCTCCTCTCACGGGTGGAGAGCGGCGACTACGCGTATGCTTGGTGGATGCGTGTGAGCTCCTCGACGCTTCGTACTTGCACACACGTATAATACGGTGCGTTCGCACGAGAGCTTGAAAAGTGCAACGGACGATATCTCGTGGCTATACGTGTTTCGTAGTGGGGGCGATGGAGACCGACATGGCGGCCAGTTTTCTGGAACGTGCACGGGCCTGCCTCTACCAATTTTCTTTCTCTGGCCAGTTCTACCTTTCGTGCAGTGGTTATCTCCTTTCCTCCTTGCCCTTTTGCCCTTCACTGATCCGCTCCTTCATTTTGCATCTTGATCTTGAAAAGGAAAGGGAATTGGCTGAGATCGAAAGCAACGAACGGATCAATGGTAGACCTTGATAAAGCGTGAACAATTTACTCGAAAACATTGACCTCGTTGCCAGAATAGGGGCTCTTCGACGAGGTCCTTCGTTTGGTCAAAGATGAACTGCGGGAGGAAACTTAATTGCACGTGAACGTCATAGATGAAGGATCATAAAGCGGGTCCAAGAGGTTAGGCCCATGTATGTTAAATATTTGTCGTCACAAGCTTCATTACTCTCGAAAGGTTGATGAAGGGGTTGCGGAGAGCAGCAGGAGTCAATAAGCAGAGGAACCAAGTGTTGGCAAAGGTGTCCGGCAAGTGTAAGCTCAAACTTTAATTCGTATGAGTGAATATCGCTCGGCCTCTGCCGGGAACATTTGGGACGACCCCGGCTCGTCTATCACGCTTCGCTGCTACGTTAAAGCCATTGTTCCGTACCTGTTACAAACGTGTTCGCTAATAAATGAACACATAACGCGTCGACGTATTAAATGAATAACCAACAGGTAGAAAAGTTTCGAGTCTACCGGGTATACAAACCGAGCACCGCTGTTCACCGTGACGTTAATCGTAAAAAGTACCTATGCAACAGCTGCCTGGCAACGGGTAGCATTATCTCGTCATTCATTAACCGGAGGAACACCGATTCTCTCATACACGTTCGTGAACAGTTGCTAACGAGAGAATTTAAATAATTCCCAAGATTATAACATTCATTCTTTCCCGCTGCATCGTCGTGTCCCCTCCTCGATTTCGCTTCGACACTGTCACGGATAATCGAGGGTGAAAGAGCGAGAGCCGACGAATCGACGGGTCAGAGAGAAACGGAGATAATGAGGAAGGAGTGAAAGAGAGGGGAGAAGAGCGAGTGCAGTTCCCGCGATCCAGCGTGCGTTGCACTCCGCACGAAAAAACATCGTCCGGGCGGGCCGAGGAAGGAGGAGGTGGGTCTTCGTGCATCTCCGGCCCGCGTCGGAGCTTATATTGATCATGAGAGAGTGCACGATATTCGAGAATACATTATACGCGGACTCTAGCCTAGCCGGACTGCCTATAGTCACGCAGAGTATAGGCGGCCAGGCCGCTGCACTCGACTCCCTCTGTGCCCTCCGTTCCCTCCCTCTTTCGCTCTTTCTCCTATCCTCCCTACCAGCCCCACCGTTCCCCTTACTTCGTTCCCGCTTCATCGTTATCTATCTGTCCCTGTTCCATTCTTCTCGCTTCCTCCAACACAGTCCGCTGCTTTCTATCCAGCGATGGCATGAATCTAGGAATAGGGATAGAGCATATCCTTCAGGGGAGGAGGCCATTGCGGGAGTCACTCAATTCCAAACTGAAAATTTCCAAATTTCTACATTTCTATACGTCTGACTTTACAAAATTGTAAACTCAAATTTTATAAACTCGCAAATTTAGACAGAACAAAAAATCAAACTTGGACATTGGTTCGAATCAATCTCATCTATCCAACCTCACACTACGTCTCTACATTTCTGGATCCAAGAGCGTTAGGTATAATTTCGTTCTCCCTGCTGCGTTTTCGAGCAATCTTCCCTCGTAACAACCTTGAATGATAAATTATATCTGACTACTGTCATCTAATTTGATGAAAATTTAATATAGATTACCAAAGTATGCATCAAATTATCTTCTATATTTTATTAGGGGATCGTTGCAGAGATACAGAGAGGATTGGGCAGTTCAATAATAAAGGTGTTCCATTTCAATGCAATAATTCTTTGAGGTTACGAGATAGTTCCATTCAATTGATGTCTGGTTCAAGATCTCTTAAGTCCATCACTACCCATATATCTCCTGCTCTTTCTTCCACTTCGATTCTCGTAACGCACACATAGCCAGACTGTTCTTTCTCTTTCTGCTCCACCTTTCATCTCCTTTTTCTCTGATCCTCTCCGTCTCGTCCACGTTATACATCGTGCTCGCTCTTCCTTCCTCCTCTTTGTCATATATCCTCTATCTCTCGCGTGTTTTCTGCCGTTCTTTTGCTCTCGCTTGAAATCTCCGGCTATCCTCGTTACTCCGCAAGGGTTCTCTCCATCCTTCAGTCAGTTTCTGCCTCCACCACCCCCGCCGGAGGGCCG